CCAGGCTAAACAAACCAAGTGACCTCAGCCCCTACACATACAGCTTCCCCCTCCAGACCCCTCACCATCCTCATGGCCTTCCTTTGCACACTCTCTAATAATTTAACATCTTTCTCATATTGTGGTGCCCAAAACTGCACACAGTATTTGCTTCTAGGAGCAGTTGACTCACTCAGTGAGATATGTGGACTCTTGTGAGCACTGCAGGCCTCTCCTGGGAGTGGAGATTCCCTTGGATCAAACCCTGCCCATCCCTGTCATGCCAGTGGTCCCACCCAGGTGGGATGCTGAGGGTGCAATGCAAGATGGCACCACCAGCAGTGCAGGACCACCTGAGTTGTGCACCACAAAGATCACCTTGGGGATGGTAGACTCGATAGAAGGGGAATATTTTCTACAATGAAAGTGATGATGCAACACTGCAAGAGCTTGCCCAGAGAGGTGGTACATGCCCCATCCCTGGAAACATTCATGGTCAGGTTTGTTGGGGTTAAAGTTTTCAACTTCAACCTGGTTTACTTGAAGATGTCCCTGTACATGGCAGGGGGTTTGAAACCAGGTGACTTCTAAAGGTGCCTTCCAACCCAAACCATTCTGTGATTCTATGAACAAGAGACATTCCAGTGCCTATAGATTTTATCCAAACTGGAAGGGTTCACTTCTTTGGCCCCAGTGTTACCTGCTGAGTGTCAGGAGGTGCACATGAAGCTGATGTTTGGTGGCAGTTTCAGTGGCACCAGCAGCCAGCCCCAGCTCCCTGTTCCTCTGCTGCAATCCACCCATCCCACCTCCACTCCTCATGATGCCACATTCACAGCAGCTCGTGCAGAGATCAAACCAACCCTAAAGTAAAGTGGGGAAACTCCATTTCTTGAAGCACACATCTATTCCCTGACCCATCGGTTACACTCTAGCTAAATGGATAGTGCTATGGATATTGCTCATAGAGATGTAGCTCTGCAGCTTGGATTAAATCAAAATCCGAGTTAAAAACAGCGCTCAGCCTTGGCTCTGCTGACTCCTTGGGCTCCGCAGGGATCACTCAAGCTGGCAGCAGACGGGGCTTGGGGCAACGCTTTGCATTTGGGAAGAGCAGCTATTTCCTACTGCTTTGCTCTCTGCAATGGAGCTGCAGCGGGCGGGTGTGAATTGCCTTTCTGGAAATCAAAGCAGCGGCACGGGGGCTGGCTGCTGGGCTTTGCTTCCCCCAGGCGCTGCCCATCGGCCGGCTTTGCCTTCCTGTCTGCACAGGGAAATGCCTCACCTGGAGGGATGCTCTCCGCAGGCCGCTCCGAGCATTTGCCCCTCTCCACGCTGCCCCTTATCCCGCTGCCCAAGCGTCAGGTCCTGCAAAGGCAGATGCTGATGTGCAGAGTTTACTTAATGCCGATGCTGGGCACAAATCCTGGGAAAACGCACTCAAATCTGGTAGCAGAGAGGGGAGGAGGAGCAGTGGGATGCAGGGAATGGGAAAGAAGTGAAGAAATGGGAAAACTTACTGTGTGATTGTTTCCCTACCTGTGGGATCTTGTGGGTTTTACTTTTAAATGCTGGGGAAAAGCCCTTTAGGAGAATGTGGAGCACTTCCCACTACTGCCAGGTGCATCTGCTGAGTGCAGGGCTGCATTTGGGGGTACAGAGATATGGGGAGCCCTGACACCCCCCTCCATCCACCCCCACATCCCAGCCAGTCCCACCAGAGGGGTCTCACCTCCTGGCAGCTCCAAGGATCCAGCACTCCATTGAAACAGCCTTTGCATGTCTTGGTGCATGTAAATCAGGGGCTTTCCAGGAGTTTCCTGGAGGAGCCACTGCCTGTGGGCTCAGCAATCCTCATTCCTCCTGCCAGCTTGGACTGGGAGCAGGAGAGATGTTTCAGTGCCTCCTCTGCTGTGAGGCTGTTATGGCAACACACTCACATCCAGCCCCTCAAGGTGATCAAACCACCCAGCCCCTGCTTAGAGGCTTGGGTTTGGTTTGTTTCTGCTTTTCCACGGGGAAAACACACCATGGCACAGTGGTTATCCCTGTGGAGATGAGAGGTGGCATTGGGCACACCTGGTCTCTTCCAGGGCACCTCACCTGCAGCTCTGAGAGCGCTCTGCTGATGTTACACCTGTTTCCCATATAAACCACTTTTCCCCATTTGCTCAAGTTTTAAGTTCCTGGTTGGCACAATTCTGGGTGGGATTCAGCTTTGTTTTGACAGACAACAGTTCAGGTGTGTTTAGGGGATCCTAATTACATGCTCATCTAATGGATACTGTTGGGACAGAAGAAGGAGAAGGGACAGGGATAGACCTGGAGGGTTGGCTGCATGTCACCCTAGGGAGGGAAAAGGGAAGCTGGGAGCAGCAGCATCCTTCATTCCCACACCCCTGGTTTCCAGGTTTGCTGAGGCCATTTTGCTCCTTGCAACAGCCACCTGTTTCCCAGGTTTGTTTCCCTGCTTGTGCATCCTTAATTCAGCCTTAATTCAGCATCAAGAAGGGCCTGGCATCTCAAAAACCTGTGGGTGCCCCATCCCTGGAAGTGTTCAAGGCCAGGCTGGCCTTGAGCAACCCAAAATATCAAATGCTGTCCCTGACCATGGCAGGGGGTTTGGACTAGATGAACTTTAAATGTCCCTTCCAACTCAAACCAGTAAGGGATTCTAAAATTCTATGGTTTAAACAGCACATTTGCCCTCTGCTGTGCTTTGGCAGCAGGACATTTCCCCTCTGGATTCACCTAAATTCCCACCCATCAGTACCACCCCCCTGCTTCTACACAGGGCTGGCAGCAGAGGAAAGCAGGAAAATCCTGGATGGAGAAAAAGATTCCTTGCCAGAGAAATTATCTGAAGCAGGTGGTTCCAGCTCGGAGAAACTCAATTTATATTCCCAAATGACATGCTGGGAGCTGCTCACAGCTCCATCAGCAAGCACAGCACAGGCAGGCAGATGTTTTGGCACGTGCCAGCAGCTGGAATAGGATTGCTGGCTCAGCTTGGCTGCACCCTTCACTCCAGACAGTAATTTGGGAAGTCAGTGTTGGAGGCAAGGGAGCCTGTATTGGGTGGCTGCAGCTCTGGCTGGCAGAACCACACAGCTCATTCTGCAACAAAGAGAGGGAGCAGAGTGCAGAGCTGGGCAGGAGGAGACACTCCTGGATTATTCACAGGCTCCAGCCCTGGGGAAACCCTGGCAGTGCTTGGGACCAAAGGCCATGGTGGTGATGATGGGGTAGTGCCCCTGCCATCCACGCTGCAGGAGCAGCTCTGCCCAGGGCTCATCCCTGCCAAAGGAAGTGGGAAATGCTTGGGGATGCCAGGCTCAGAGTGGTGGGATGTGGCTTAGGGACACAAAGCCCTGCAAAGGGAGGAGGACACAAGGAGCATTCTGTGGGCACTGCAAGGCACAAGGCTTGTCCCCATGCAGGTGGTGTCAGCACAGGTGAAATTCCAGGTCTGGAGGGGGAAGGAAGTGGTTCCCATGGGCTGGGCAGTGGCACTGAGGGGAGTGGGGCAGAGGCTGCTGCCTCACCAAGCCCCCTGCGATTGTTTTATTTTCTGTGTGGTGGCCAGTAACAAAGAGCAGCTGTGCTGTGCCTGCTGCCCCAGACTGGCAGAACAAAGGGGCTCCAGGAAATGCTTCCCCCACATGTGACACCATGAGGATGTGACAGGCAGGGTGGGAATACCAAATCCAATGCAGTTTTGGAGAGATGTGTGTAAATCCAAGAGGGGTTCAGCAGAAGCCACCACTAACACTGCAAGAGGCCGTGGGAGAGCACACAGGCACATCTCAGACACAAAATGCCACCTTCCCAAAGTGCCCACAAGGCTTCCCAGAGCCAGGCATGCTTCCACCCGAGGTACAACTCAGCCTGCCCACCCTGGGGAGAGCCCTCACCACCCTAGCCCAGGGCTGGTGGCTGCTTGTACAAGCCATGTAGGTGCCTGGCCAAAAAAACAAATAGAAACTGAGAAGTGAACTTTCCCTTGCAGCTTTTGGGGAGGCCAAGTGCAGAAGCAAAGTATGAAATGCTGCAAAAGGGATGAGGAAGGGACAGATGTTGTGAGGGTGCCTCTTAGTAGGGAGGGTTAGAGCAGCTTTATAGCACAGGGGTGTTAAACTGCTGGTGCAGAAGCAGCCAGGAGCCCCTCTCTGGGCACACAGCAAGGGAACAAGCACCAAGACCCCAGCAGCAGCTGTGTACACACCACCCTCCCCTTCCCACATCAGCAACTGATGGAAAATGGGGTCCAGGTGAGTCTAGTCAGACCCCATAGGTCACTGACAGGCAACATCACCCTGTTTGACTGCTACAGGGTGGAGACTGGCAAGGGACTGGTGCTGGAGCATCATCCAGGAGCAGAACCCCAGGAGCCCTGCCATGGGTGCTCCCTCCATGGAGGATGCTCAGCTGGGTGCAGGGGATAAGTGCAGCCTGCAAGAACACAGAGAAAACTGCACTTTCTTGAACTGCTGTAAACCACGATGGGAATGTTTAAAAGAAGCTGCCAGGCAGGTATGATTTACTTGGCTTTTGATAAAATCTCACATCAGAGACTATTAATGCACCTTGTCAAAGGTTAAAGGGGCAAAGTCCCCATTTGGCAACAGAAAACAAAGACAGACAACATCTGCTGCTTGAAGCAAAAATGAACAAACACCAAGGCACAGCAGAGGTCAATACTGGCACCATTACTATTTAATACCACTTGTATATTAATGAGAGGCAGGAAAAAGACAAAAAGCAAGGTAAAGAAAACCAACAATAGCCCAAACTTACTTTACTTTGTCAAAACAGAGAGAGGTAGGGAAAAAAGTCATGCTGTGAGATGTGCTTTACATGAGAAATTAAATTATCACACTAAAGTTTGCCAGTGGAAGTAGTTTCAGCACATTAAACATGGTATTCAGCCCAAGTGGGGCTGAACCAGCTGGTCCCATTTTACCAGCCACTTCATTGTGAATTCTGAAATGAGGAAAAAAAAAAAAGACAAACACTTTCGCTGTCATTTCTTACCCTGGTTTTAATCAGCCAGTGTTTCCTCATGCTCTTGTGATGCCACAGTTTCTTGGTTACAAACATTGCAGGGGAAGGCTGCATTGTTTTATTTTAAAAAAATAAGAAGAAGTTTCTGCTGACATTTAAGAAACAGAACAGAGAGAGTTCAAACTCTGATCATTTTGTAAACACCAGAGACGCAGGACCAAGTCAGAATCCTACATGGATCAGAAATATTGCTTAGCTTTAACCCGGATGTGTACACAACAAAGCACCTTGGCCAAAGAAATCTGAGCTGCTAATAAACCACACTCCAGGTCATCCATGGAAAAAAGACTGATGAAATGCAGGCCCTGCACCTGTAAAGGCTACAGACATCTGTCACGCCCTCAAGCCAGCACAGGAGGCAGCTGCCTTTGATGAGTGATCAGGCACAGCACAGAGGGTTTCACCTTCTTTTCTTTCTCCTTTTTGCTCTTCCTAAAGTGTGTGGAGCAGTCCCTTCTCATGGCATCGGACCAAATTGCTCCAATCATGGAGTTTCTGCTGGAGGTTTTGGACACAGATGACAAAAAACGTCTTTGGGAGGGAGGGAGGAAAGGAAATGTGATCAGTTTTTAAGTCTAGAAAACCACTACTGGACTCCAGGAAAATATTCCATGAAGCTGGTGGCTCCAGCAGTGTGGGGTCTCCCCAGGGCTGCTGGATCCATCACTACTCTCTCAGGATTTTGTTTATGATCCTGCACAAAAAGGACACTCCCCTGTGTGCACAGGACTCCCTTCCTGATGCCCTGATTCCCTTCCTGCAGCTGTTCCAAGCGTGGAGCCCCCGGAGAAGCCGGGAGCAGGTGAGAGCTGGGGGCAGCAGCACACCTGAGGCTGCAGTGCAGAGGTGGCCACTGCTCCTCCTGGCTTGGCTTCCTTGGCACAGCCACTTTTCTACCCCTTGCCTGCCCACACAAAGCCTCATCCCCAGCACAGGCAGCAGGGCCCGGGGCACACGTCCACAGGGACTTGTGCAGATCCACCCAAGGATGCTCCATCACTGTCTGTGCCAAGAAATTGCTTTTAATTAATCAGGGCTTCAATTATGTGCAGTTCTCAACTCTATACCCTGGTCCTGGTTAGCTTCAACTCTACAGAGTCACATCTGTGGCAATACTAATGAGCATGAATTTCCAAGTATTCATGTTTTCTTTCAGCCATGTTACCACCTGGAAATCTCAATTTATTTAATTGTCTTCTCTGTTAAAGTAATGTCTAGTCCTTACAGATGGGGTAAAAGAAAAAGAAGATAAAAATATGATCCAATTCCCTCTTTCCTCCAAAAATATCAGAAAGGAAAATCATGTAAGTCAGGGCTCAAAATCAGCAATGTTATCTCATGGTTTTCCTTACGCTTCATGTTTGTTTTTTTTTTAAATGAGGTATTGGTTGTAGAGGCAATGACTAAATGCTGGGGAAATGTTAGATCAGAGCATCTGATTTCCAGCTCTCAAGATACTTACAGGGGTTTTTTACAGATTGAAATCATCTCTCAAGGAACACACAGATGTGATACGAGGCCAGTGCTCAGCAAAATCAGATCGATGGCAATCAGAAGATTCCGAGATCTTCCGCCTCCTCTCCATCTGGGAGGAGGGAGAGGCACTAAAGGGTTCAAATTCCAGGTCAGGACTGCAGATGCCACGTCCTCAATTCATCTCTGCTGTCAAAACCATCAGCCAAATGCCCCACAGCTGCTCACTGAGAAACAGCTTCTGCATGTGGAGCTTGAAATGCTTTCAGAGAGCAACACGGAGGAGCCTGAAAATCAATTAATTATACAAATATTAGTGACTTCCTAAATGTGCTCAGTGCTGGGAGCTCCCATGCACCTCTGGTCTACAGTCCTGGGGCACTACATTCTCTGGGAGATAAAGAGAGTGATTAAAATCAGGCAAGAAAAGCAACACTTTATTTTTTTTCTCTTTCTGCTTGTTTTTAGACAAGACTTTTTCAAAGCCAGTTGCACGAAAAGCAATCTTTGAATTAACAGGCAATTACTTAATTAGGTACTTAGCTGCAAATTACATGAAGCAAAGTGCCTGTTTTATCTATCTGGAAATGTAAACTGGGCCCTGTGCTATCCCTAACACAGAAATTCCCTCCTTTCTAGAGAAAACTTGTCTTGCATATGAAGCAAGAGACTCATCTGAATCCTGATTTTAATCATTTGGGAAAAGGGTCTTTGGAAGCACAAAAAGCACTTTCAGGGAGAAAAATGAACTGAGAAGACACTGGAAATCAGACATGTTAAAGACATGTTAGATTCTAGTGATTTGTATGTTAAATGCATAAGAAAAAATGGGATGCTTTGCAAATCAGTGGTGGAAAAGGGTTGAATTGAGCAGTAGTCTGTGACAATCCTGGCTGTTGGCTACTAAAACACACCCAGCATCCTAGAGTTGTGCTGAACCCATCACCACCTGCTGCAAAACAGGATTACATTTTTCCTGAAGCATGCTCAAAACCACATTCTGGGGTAAAAAAAGTCACCAGCTGACACACCCAGCCACATTGCAGTGCTCCTGCAGCCTTCCATGGGCCACGCACTGATCAAACCCCTTGGAGATGACACCTGAGGAAATGACACCTCTATCTCCCTGTGGCCACGGTCTTGGCTCTGCCTTCAGAAAAATTTAATGTTGGCCAAATTTTGCCCGTTGTCAGGTCCATTTGAACACCTCACTTTCCTTTAGCCCAACATTTTGGTGTGACATGGCTCAAATGTGACTTTTTGTCCAGTTTCTGGGCAAAATTCAGCATCAGCGGAGGACCTGGCTCTGCAGCTGTCAGGTCTTCTCAGCTCTGGTTAAATTTCCCACCCAAATTGTTCCCAATCTCAAAGTTTTCATATTGAAGGAGAAGGTGTCTGAGCAAGGAATTCTAGAGGCAGACTCATGCTTCTCAGGGGAAACATCACTGTGAGGAAGAATTTCTTCACAGGGAGGATGATTAGACATTAGGAGAGGTTCCCAAGGAGGTGATGGAGTCACCATCCCTGGCGGTGTTTAAGGAAGGCCTGGATGTGGCACTCAGAGCCATGGTCGGGTTGACAGGATGGTGTTTGATCACAGGTTGGACTCGATCTCAGAGGTTTTTTCCAATCGATTTCGAATCAATTCTGGGATAAGGGGAAATGGCCTTAGAGACAGGGGAGATTCAGATTAGATACTAAAGAAGCATTTTTTTTCCTGGTAGGTTGCCCAGACCGGCGGTGCAGTCGCGGTGCCCGGAGCTGAGTTCCAGATGTGCTGAGGTTCAGTATCCAAGGGGTTACAGCGGCACTGCTGCCTCGCACTGCTCCATCTTAAAGGTCTCTGCCAGCCTCGATGGCTGCGGGACTGCACGAAGGCACCGGACCCCACACACGCACCGGGGCTGCCCACACGGGCCGAGCTGAGGGGCGGGGACGCGGGGACGTCTGTGGGGTGTGTGTGTGGGGGGGGGCGGTGTCGCGACATGTCGCGCTGCAACGACAAGCGCCCCCGCGCGGGAACGCGCGTGGGATGCGGCGTGAGGGGGAGCGGGAGGGGGCGGGAAGGCGGCAGGGAAAGGGAGGGAAAAGCAGGGAAAGGGAGGAAAAGGGGGGGGGTTTAACCCCCCCGTGCCCGGCGGCGGCGGCGGCGGCATTTTCTATTCAGGCGGCGCTGAGGGAGCCCGTCGCGCCCGGTGCATTGTGGGACCGCGCTGGGAGTCCCGTTCGCGGGAGGAGGCGGAGGGCGAGGAGGCGGCGAGAGCCGGTGAGAGGGAGACCTGAGGAGGGAGGAGGAGGAGGAGGGGGGGTGCAAGGCGGGGAGATTTAAAGGGGAATTCGCCTCCGCCGTTCCCGCCGGGCCGGGCGCGGGGGGTGGCGCGGCGCGGCCGGGGCGCGGGGTGCCCGCCCGGCCCGGGCCCCGCCGCCCTCCCTCGGCCCGGCCCCGGGGGAAGGGCGGAGGAAGGAGCGGGGATGGGGGGGCAGCGCCTCACCGCGATGCGGCCGCTTTAAAAAAATTTAGACGCCGGCAGCGGACGGGTTAAATTTTTCGCCCGCCGACATTTTTTTTTCCCTTTTCCCTCCTTTCCCCCCCCCCATTCCTCCCCCCACCCCCGTGCTCCTCTCCCTCCCCATTACGGAGTGTCGGCGTGGGGGGGGCGGTGGGGGGGTGCTGCTCCCAACATCCCCCCGGCCGTCCCCGCCAGCGAGGGGCGAACCCCGCCCCGGTGACACCGTACCTGCACGTGGGGACACGGGGGACACCGCGGCCGGACACCCGCGGGCTCCGTCCCCGCCGTAGCCCGGGCAGGGGCCGCTGCCACCGCCGCTCCGTGCGCAGCTCCTTCCTCCTCGTCCTCTTCCCCCGCCGCCTCTCCGGCTGCACAAAGAGCGGCAGCGAAGGCCCCGGGTTTGCCTCTAAAGGCAGCGGCTGGAAATTTAAGGTGTCCCGGAGCCATGTCTGCCCGCAGCGCTGCCCGCCGCATTCCCCGGATCGATGGTGGCTGCAGCGCCTCGCCTCGTGTGCCTCGGGCGGTCGGGCTGGCGCTGGGTGCGCTGGGGTTGGTTTGGGGTATGTACCTGGCTCCGGTTCTCCCTCCATCCCTCCCCCCCCTTTTCGCTCCTGTGCTCCCCTCTCTCTGCTGTTTAGGAAGGCAAGGGTTAAACTTTAGCTTTTAATATTTATTATGCCGCTCTTTTAAAGTAAGAAACGTCTGGGTTAGGAGGTGTTGTCTGCTGCTGGGGAGGGATGCTTGTCACTCACATCGCAGTGCTGCATAGACTGCCAGAATCGCAGAATGTTCTGAGTTGCAAGGGACTCTCAGTGCCATCAGTGCAGCTGCTGGCTCTGCATAGGACAGCCCCAAGAATCACACCTCGAGCCTGAGAGTTGCCCAAACTCTTCGTGAACTCTGCTAGGCTCGGTGCTGTGACCACCAAAGTCACCAAAACTTGGAATGTTGCTCCCATGGGAGTCTGCGAATTACACAGTTGCATGCAGCTTTAATCAGATCTTTATTAGAAAAGTTACTGTATTCTTGCACTGGGGATGTTTTCCACTAAATGAAATCGTCTTGCTTGTTTCACGAGTTGTTTTCAAACGGGGCAACTGTGTCCTTACAGTCCTCAAGGCTGCAAAAAGTTCCTGGTAGGCTGTGGCCTCTGCATCCATCTCTGTAGGCAGGGGGTGCTAAGCTTTTTGCACTTATTGGTTAGATGAAGGAAGATGTTTCTCTTGTGGGGCAAGCTGCTTTTTTTAATTTTCTGGAATTAATTAGAATGAAGCGTTAAAAAAAGAATGAAGGAAAAAAAAAACCCTCCTTGAAAAGCTTTTGTCTCCTATTTCTGTTGACAGGTTGTTTTCCAGACACTTTTCTTTTTTTTTTTTTTTTTGCAAGTGCTTAGTGTCTTGCATTGGAAGACAACGGCTAGGAACTGAATTCATTGCTCATCCAAGACACGTTCCTGTAACTAGAGTTTGGATTTCTGCCCGAGCCTAGGCTTTGGAAGATTTGTTTTAAATAAGTGCCACACCTCCCAGAGAAGGAGGGAAAACACAGTGAAGGGGAGTTGGGCTCCACATCAAAAAGTTCTCAGGGAACTTAAAACTTCAGTTCCTACAAATTGCAGACAATAAATTGACTTAAAGGTTTATGGAACAGATGTGCTTGTTAATAAGTGCTGTGGAGGGCAGATAGAGCACAGTCTGTAGATTTACTTCTTTCCCTCATTTAGCAACGTTGAACTTGGCAAATACCAGTGCCTTGAATTCTTCTTTTCAGCTTAACCTCATTAGGGCATGACCATCAGCATCAGGTTTTGTCAGTGATGCCACTGAACTCTCTTCTTGTTGCTATTCCATAGGAACCTTGCTTTTTAAGAAACTACTGCTAGACAGATTGCTTTTAGTAATTCCTGAAAACTTGTTCTCCAAGAAAGATGAATTGTATTTTATCACAGCCGTTCCTGTTTAGAAGTCAGTGTCTCAGTTAGGCCTCTTATTAGTTTTGGAGTGTGGTGGATGTGAGTCAGAGTGGAAAAACGTTCTAAAATTAGACACGCATTGTTAAGAATTTTATTAAATGAATTGCATCAGTGTCTTTTTACATTACTATTTTAATGGACAATTCTCTGATTTTCCGTATCATTAGTTGACTAAAATGGGCTGAAGAGGCAAGAAACTTTTCAGTATTTTTTTGTCTGTGAACATGCTAAAAGGTAAACTGGCATGCTTGTAGGTGAAGCATTCTGCTCAAATACAGCCTCTTTGTTCTTCTGCTACCTGTACCAACAGGACACCAGGGCTGTGCCTTCTCCCAAGGAGAACAGGTGTATGAAGCTTCAGGACTGAAGCAGAGCCATAATTTGAAAAGCATCCCATTTTTGAGATTAATATGTTAATGCTAAAATCATGACCCCACACTGAGCTGAGTACAAACAGATGTCTGTGCTGAGCATGCTGCAGGAGCAGGGCCCAGGCTGCCTTTTGGTCTATGTGCTCTGGGAACTATTATTTCTTTCATTACCTCTGTGTTAAATGAGGACAGTAGGTGTGTTAGATTCTTTTTTTAATGAAATCCTTACGCAGCATATCTGGAAAAGAGCTTAATTCTCTGATTCACCTAGCAGAGTTGTAGTTTTAAATGTCAGAAGGTAGGATGAGGAGTCATCCCTGTGTAGTCGTAGGGAAATGAGTTGTGTGAGATGTGCACACCTGTCTTAACAGGTGAACAACCATAACGAGCACTTTCTTTTGCTTTTAACTTGCACCATGTGGAAAACACGTTGTCTTGCAGGTCACAGGACTTTGCAATGTTCCCTTTTCTTTGTTTTTTTAATTGTTATTTTTATTTTCCAATAAGAGTGATCAGCAGAGAAACTGATCCCGTTGCTCTGGGCTGGGAGAGGCCGGCAGTCCGTGGGACAGAACCATGTCTGTTCGGGAGTCCTTCAACCCAGAAAGTTACGAACTGGACAAGAGCTTCCGTCTCACCCGATTCACTGAACTGAAGGGCACAGGCTGCAAAGTGCCACAGGATGTCTTACAGAAACTGCTCGAATCTCTACAAGAAAACCATTTTCAGGAAGATGAACAGTTCTTGGGGGCAGTTATGCCCAGGTTGGGTAAGTAGTTGCTGCTCTGGACGTTGGTGGTCCTTCTGCTCGGTTTCCTTAGTGCCACGATCACATTTGTGGTTTGTTCAACCAGTTTGAAAATTGGGTGTTGTATAATGCATGCACAGCATCCAGAAAGCTGAAGAATGAATCTCATGCTGTCATTTGTTGGCATCTGGGATACAAGAATATTATCTTAATTATTTAACATCCTGCAGTGCACTCAGCTACAAAGGCAAAACACTCAGGAATGGCCATTGTGATGGGCACATGCTTAGGTGTTAGTCTGCTCCTGCCTTTCCCCCCAGTAGATGCTGTGCAAACTGAAATCCTCTCAGTTCATTTCTAGACTTTTATGTTCATGCATTGCATTTGGAATTTGATGCAATGGACGAATGAATTTGGATGACTCCCAGGTGAATTTCCCCTCCCTCCCCTCCCCTCTGTTCCTGGGTCACAGAAAGTGAGCAAGAGAACTTCCTTGCTTCAGCTCACTGGGAGCAAATTGTTTCATAGTTGTCATTATTCCTTTGAGTCCTTTCCTTGTTCCCCACTCTAACTCTTTTGCTCACCTGTAGAAGCTGCCTGGGAAAGGCTGCCTTTCCAAGACCTCTGTGTTCTTGCCAGCTTCACTTTCTCTTTGATATTTGCACAATGATGCAAGCAATAAGGGAAAACAACCTGCACAAGCCACCTACATGGGGAACAGGGCAAATGTAGGTATTTTGATACCAGCTACTGTACCTAATATTGATATAGATAAATTAATGTAGATAATGTGTTTAATGACACTTCTAATTCTGTTTGTCTATTTACTCAGCCCTGCATATTCAATTTCTTTGCAGTGCAGAATGGTTTTTTCCCCTCAACTTAAGAATACCAATGGAGCATTTATTCTGAAGTTATTATCAGTTTAGTGTTCAATAACCTTATTTAAAATTATATAAACATTACTAATTATCTATTAGCAGGCTAACAGGCTGCAACCCACTATTCTGGTAGAGATTGAATATAATCAGAGATTAGTAAGGCACCCATGCTCTTGCTTAAACAATGAGGATCTTTGTATTAAGTATCTAAGCAGCAATTGTGTGTGAAGCTGGGGTGGCACTATAATTTAATATTCCCTGATAGAGGACACTTCCATCCTTTTTCATCCCCAAATTGCTGTTTATATGTATCTTTCTAGATTAAGTAAGCTGTTCACAGCAGCATTTCAGTTTGGCAATTTTGTAAAATCAGCAATAGTTTGGTTTAGATTTCTTTTCTCTTACAAACTTACAGGCTCTAAACAATAATGGAACTGCTAGTAGACTTCTTCTACAGCTATATGAAAAGATATAAAAGTAGATTTATGCCATCAGTATGTAGGTGTGATACTGTGTAACAGAAAATCTGTTAGTAATAGAAGGTGAAGAGTTCAGATCTCTTTTCAAATATGCTTTTGTGATGAGTGTCCCTTTAGCAAACGTGTCTTTGGATAAGTTTGGTGTGAGATTTGCCTTTGATGTCTTGTGCTAAAAAGCTATAGACACATAACTTTGCTCCCTCTGCATAGGCATTGAGCTTTTGAAATGCAGTCAGGAGGGAGGTTGCCAGCAGCAGGTTCGAGCTCTGCCCTTTTTAGTTCTGCAGGAGATATTACCCAGAGCAAACTTAAATACAACTGAGAGTAAGAAACTGCAAATCTGATGTTTATTCCCAGAGTGTTATAGATGAGAAATCAGTCATGGCTCTGAACAGATTCACTTGTTATTCAGAGCTGTTTTGGTGGAGCATTAACACAGCCTCAGAAGGACCATCATCCTAGCCCCTGGGTCTGTCTGGCAAACAGAGTCGGTTTTGCAGCATTATGGCATGAACAGGTGAACTGAGGGCAAAACAGCTCCCGCACCTGAGCCACTTCTCTGTAACTGCTTATGTGCCCTTCCCTGGAGGCACTGGATGTCAGGCATCGTGGCTTGGGAGCTTCTGTGGAGATTGAGCAGCCCTAATTGCTGCTTGAAAGCTTGTTAGTGCTCTTCCAAGGCAAGATCCTCTCCACCTGTATACTGACTGCATGGCAGACCTCTGTCCTCTCAGTGACAGCAACTTGCTCCATCCCTGTACAGGACACTGCCAAGCACTGCTTTGTAGCTCTTGCTAGGGTAGTGTGTTTCATTACTACATGGTGAAAAGTTCCTGTGTGACATCTGCTCCCTAAAAATGGGCTGTTGTGAAGACTCTTGCCCTGTGGGGCAT